ATTACTGAACTTGAGACTGTAACCAATCATGGTACTGCAATGACTACACTAACAGAGATCAGCATTCTATTCTAAAATCCTCTCGGATTCTTAAGGATTTGGTACAATTAAAGTTTTATACCTATTACAAATATTGTGACTTGACCTAACCTGACCTGATGTGAGTAAACCTGGTCCTCTCCTGAGCCGATTCGGCCTCATTTCTTTTCCTATATGATTAGAGCAAAATCAAACGAACGCAAGTTTTTTTGTTTAAGTTTACCCCTCTTTCAGAATGGTTGATTCCTTACCTTGAACAAGTAGTCTAGTATCTGTGATCTGTATGGTTCAGCATAGCTCACCAATAGTCTTGAAGTAGCCTTTATTGGGAGAAAATATAAAAATTTATCAGCGTTGATAAAACTATACACAAGAGTATGCTCACTTTCCCGATACACCCACTATCTTGAGAGCATGCCCGCTTTTTGAAGCCACATCCATTTTGTTGAAAGCATGCCTACTTTTAGAGACATTATACACAAGAGTATGTTAACTTTTTCAATACACCCATGTTTTTCATTGAGAATTGAGAGCATGTCCACTTTTTGAAGCCACATCCATTTTGCTGAAAGCATATGCCTACTTTCAGAGACATTACACATGTGAGCATGCTCACTTTTTCGACACACCCATTATATTGAGAGCATGCCTACTTTTTGAGGTCACACTAACTTTGATGAAAGCATGCCTACTAAACATTTATAAATATTTATACATTTCAAATGGTATTGTAAACAACTTGACCAATCAAAACCCACTGTTATCTTTTAACGACACTGGCTCATTTTCACAGTTTAATGTTCTGTGCTAAACTTAAATTTATTTCAGGGAACGAATCACTGTAATTTCAACACATTTGATGGGATCTATCTTTTGAATACATGGCAGTAAATCGACCAATGATTGAAGAAACCCTGTAAAGGCTTGTGGGTAATGAGCAATATCAAATGGTTTCTAAAGCCTTGGGTGACATTTGACCTATTGCGATGAATGAAGTGCAAGTATTTTTTGGGGTAAATGTTTTATAAATATTTATAAATGTCTATAAAACAAATTCACACCTTCAAGAAACCTGTGCATTTATACTACCTTGAATTAATTCAATTAAAAAAAAAAGAGTTGCAATTTAATTGATCTGAATTAAATTTAATGAAAATTGTACTATTATACTCTTGGCGCAACAAAGGCATTCTCTTAATTTTTACAGCTATTTATAAATTTCACAATTTAAACTGAAACAAGAGGTTTCTGCCGGCCAATTGAATAACACTGTAACGTTTTTAAATGACGTAGTTGCACACTGTGGATTCAACTGCAATTGAAATTTATAAATATTTATAAAAATGAAAGAATGCCTTTGTTGTGCCAAGAGTATAGGAATGAAATTAATTTGGGTTATTTTAAAATTCATTCCTATATAGGATTGCAATTTAATTTAATATCATGTTTACTGATGGCTCTCTTATGACTAAACTCACATTGTTCAGAGCATGCCCCATGTTTGAGACCATGCTTACTTTTAGAGGCGCAGCCAGCAAGGAGTCCAGAAGGACCAACTGCTCTATGAATTTTGAAAATTTTGTTTAAAAATGTTCTGGAGCTTCGCAGTCAAGCATTACTTAAGAAATCTGAAACTAATTCTTTACCCCCCCCCCCAAATAAAAATAAAAAAGCTATCTGAAGCTCTGCATCTTTTGTGGAGATTTACACCTACTTTATTCCAATTATTGTTGCGACTTAATAACGTCTACTCTTCAAGGACTACATATTCGTAGAGTGTAGGTATAGTGGGGTATTTTTGTGTATAAAACACACACAGCTGATTATATTGGACACGCCCCCTAAGTCCTCAGGTTGATCACCCAGAAATCCCAGATTATTGTAACCTCAGCCTCACGATCATTCTATTTTTGTTTCGAGCCCGCATTTACGTGATCGATGACTAATTAATTCCCAATCAATGTAATATCGATATTTAGAACGATTCTGGCCACGGTGGTTAAAACGGTTAATCGTAAACAACGAGTCCAGATTATAAATGAAGTTTAATGACTTTTGACAAGAGTTCGTATACTTACCCCGCCACCACTTATCGCGCCAATACCATCAAATTGTCTTCCAAGTCCGTTAGTGTCGTCGATGTCATACGCATGATGCGGCTGGTTAAAATAGGACGCCAACAATAACACTTGGAAAAAAAAAATCACCGGGAGAACCATCTTCACGACCATTATCCTCAAATGTATTACGTTTTAATCATGTGAGGGCGCACAAGGTTTCAACGGCAATGGTTCGTTTCATTTCATAACGTGAGGCGACTTCGATTTTTCATTTAGCTATAGCTGCCATTTTGCTCGCGTTCATGGTGCGGGTATCCGCTTTTGTAATGCGTTTATTTATTAAACCAGTATATTTTATGGATGAAATGAAAGAACATGCCATTAATAACGTTATTTTCAGAAACAATAGAACATGCAAGAAACCCCAAATTTACCCTCAAACACATGGCCCAAATCTATCATACTATGTACCATATAAGTTATAGTCAGATTATTTTTCAGTAAAATTATTGAGGATTCCTTTGAAAGTGATTATGTGATTTCGGGCGTAAATAAAAATTACTGCAAGAATGAGCGGAACGTCAATATTGCGGTAAGAGACATTGTTTTGCTGACAAAATATATATAGCTGCATTACCAAAAGTGTTACCACGGGAAACAAATGCTACATTGTGAGCAATATAGACGTATCATTAGCAAAACACTGTCTTATACTATAATAGTGTCGTTCTATTCTTTCTTGCGATCACAGTAATTACTGTATATCGTAACTAACAAAATAATCTATTTCTAGTAGCAAATTTAATGGAAAGTAATTGACTCAAGTCCTAGTATTTAAGAAATTTGGCAATACTAGTTAAACAGGTTAACATTAACTAAACATCAAACATTTCTTGCCAACTGAACCCAGTCCCTGACACCTCAAGCGTCGAGTGAGTGAACGAAACGTTTACATCTTACGTAGAACCCTTAGTAGGTATAAACACAGTCCCTCTAGAGGGACTGTGGTATAAACAAACTGCTTGATAGCACGCAGATGACCACTGTGACAGTGAAAATAACAAATTTGTTGATTTATTTTTAATTTAATTAGACTGAAGGCAATGGGAGAAAACAAAACAATAAATCGGTTATTAATAAACGATGCATTCATATAGTTCAGTTATATAGCTCAGTTTGAATAAAATGTGGATAAAGAGACATTTAAAATTCGGCGTTCCTTTGAATCTGAGTAACACAATTTTTTTTAAAGCGGGGAGTCGTCAACTGCGCATGCATCAGATGGCCATAGCGTGTCATTGTTTACAAACAAGCGTCAACCCATGAGCCTTTGCGTTTGTAGCGTGTGTTGTTATCGTCGCTTGGGACTCAATTCCCGCGCGTGCGCAGGTGAAGACCCTCCCGCTTTAAAGAAAAAGACAGAATTTGCATGTAAGAAGAACTACAGGCATTCATTATTCACCGGATTTAAATTTCACTATTTTTGATGATGAATAAAATTAAATTCACGTCGACATGAAAAAACAACATAACTCAATGTTTCCCTGGCAAATTCGTGAACTTAAAAGTCCGGTGAAATTACCAAAACATCAAATAGTGAAATTAAATGCCCATGCAAATTAATGGTTTTACATTGGTAGTATTAATGCATTTCCTAAACCATGCTCGTGTATATATACCAATTATCTGTGCACCATAAAAGCGGAATCTGATTTTACCAATATCGTTCAAGCACCGCAGAGGTCATAAAATTATTGCGAGCATGTAGCCATCAGCCCTACTAACCTGATTTCCTCACCTACAAAGACATATAAGGGTTACTGGTCATTTAGGGTATGGGACAAATGAGTGTATTCGCATCGTCATGACGATGGATTTGGTCGCATTGATTCTGTCCATTTTTTTATATTATTATTTTTGTCTTTTTGTCTTTCGCTCTTGGCAATTTATTATTCACAAAATCTCACCGCGCGTTCAAAAGCACTCAAACCGACTCAAAGCCTGGCATCTCGGTCGACATTGGCAATATATATATATATAAAGATAATGTTTCTTTCTGTTATTTTCCGTGTTTTCCATTTTTTTTTCTATGCAGATCATTAATCTATCCACAATGTTTAAAAGTGGGAATAAAACGCCTATTAATTTCACATTATTTTCCATGTGCCAGTTATGATATATTAAATATTGGGCAACCTTGATATTAAGAGCAAACGCTTTAAACCTAAACCTAAAAATACGTAGAGGATGTTCATTGACTTGGGGTTCGGAGTTCGTACGACGTAAGTCATCACGTAAGTGGATATCCTCGGCGGAAGTGACGTACTTCGGGCATAGGCGACCGGAAGTCAAATGTTTCGCATAAAAATACACCCTGCCTCTGATTGTCATTCATAGCTCTCTATCATACCAACCATTCCGCGGGGTAGAATTTTCATAGAATCTGCTTATTTGGAGGACTTATCCGCGTTACTGGACCGTCGGAACAACCACCCCGTCTCATAACGTGTGGAAAATCTGGATGATTTTCAATACAACGTCAATTTGGAGGTAAACACTCGAATTTTCTGCCTTTGAATGCGCGGCCCGGTTGCCATTTTGTGATTGTGTGCCGTGACTCTCCATGAGCTGGTTTACACTTTGAGCATACTTATCGACGGATGTCGTCAGTGACTTAGCTCGAAAGACACGGGATTCTATTTTGCATTTGTTTTTGCCTTGCCTGCACCACGCAAAGATAAACGTTAGTGGTATAGTGTGGATTCAGCTTGGCCGTGTCGTGTCGATCGTTATGGTTTACGTTTGGGAGTTGCCATTTTGGTTTCGTTAGAGTTTTTTCCTATGTACGGAGTTTGAGTAGTGCTAGTAGTACACGTACAGGGTTTAATTCAACAAATAAACGAATGGTTTAATGGACAGCTCGTCATTTAAACTGTTGTTGTTAGGGTAATACACAACGTTATATCTGTGATCGCCGACTAGTAATGCCAATCGAAACACAAGAAGCTCGCATAATATAACTCCGTTGTATGACACTAAAAAACGTTACACTCCGCTGGGGGTCGTGGCAGACGGCATATTTTGTTGAGGAACATGTCGCCGAATCAGGCGATAGAGGGAATTTTATTGATTTACCGAGGTTTTCAGAAGATGCTATGAACTTTCCACCGAATCGCGGTGTTTAGTGCAACGCAATGAGTCAAAGAACTGCTTCGTCTAATTTTCGCCGGCTCTCTCTGACTCCGCCATCACCGTCAGATTTGTTTGGTGATCTTCAACAAGTCCACTCCCCTAACCCAGGTCCCGGGGGTTATGATCTTAGGCACAATACTAGAAGGAGATCATATCAAGGTAAAAATGTTAACACCTAATATATTTTTCCTCTCCTATTTAAAAATTTAAGTTAGTCTCGTAATCAGGGGATATGACAAAACCGTACTTAGTGATATGCTTTTTGTGGAAAAAAACATACAAATACTTGTTTTGTCGATGATTATTGACATACGTTGTCAAAAAGATTGTTTTATTAAGTACGACCTTGCCGCAGATCACATTATGTATTTTATTGTGCCAAATAATTTAAGCTGTCACTGTGTTGTTTGGGGCATCAGCCACACACCATGCCTGGTATATATAAAATTATATAAAATTTAATTTGAGGGCAGTTTTACTTTTTGTTGTGTTTTAGACATGGTGGTTATGAGACCAAAGTAGGTGGTGGACCTTCGTCTGTCAGCTTATTTGAATTGCCCTGCATCCTGCTTACATTCTGCGGTTCGCTTAGGCCCTATGTGTCTGCCCTGCCCGCCTGTGGCTTTGATGTACTACCGCACCTTTTTACTTGTTTACAATTCATTGACATTACAAAGCTTTTCTTGCTTGCGGCACCGTTTTCATTACAATTTGGTAAAAGAAATTACTGACTGTGTCTGAGATTGTCAGATCCATAAAATATCCCTTTAACATTGAGACTTGATAATGAAGACCCTACAATTAAGGTTGCTCTATCCACTGCTATTTTGGACAGACTTGCCACTAGATTGGACAGCTTGCAGTGCATTCTATTGGTGTGGAGGTAACATAATCCACCTCAACTCATTTGCATTTATAAGGACTTCCCTTGTTGCAAGCACCCCTATCTTGCCGATTATGAAGCAGCAGATCTTTGGATATGGCTCAGTTTTGTAGTTGAGTTTCTAGTGGGCTGGAGTTTTTTCTTTGTCACTGGTCACTCACCCCATATTGTAGTAATTGGTGAATGGTTTGATATTCTTGTTGGAACTTGGGAACGCAAAAACAGAACTTTGATAAGATATTCTTCTCAACTTGAATTGGGCTTATCAGTACATAGTTTCGAAGTATACCCGACCCAACTTTATATTCAGCAAGCTATCTAATTTACCTAACAGTGGTACCTAATTTGCATATCAATGCATTAACACATTTTTTTGTTACAATAGCAATATTTTCATATTAATTAATACTAATTCCTTTGTTTTATAAAAGTTTCAAATAGAACCCACTAAAACAGTGAATATAATTATACTAATAAAAGTAGAAACGCTAAATTTACTTAAACAGGATACAACTGTAAATCGCTTTATTTTTCACGAGACAAATTTTTGCAAGTCAGAAAATATTTGTAAAATTTTGTTAATGTATCAGTTATGATTACGCAATAATGAATAATGCAATTTGTCCCCAAGAACTCTCTTAAATTATCAAAAATTAATTGCGCTAAAAATATAGCAGTTTACATTCTTGTGCAAGTAAACCATGTTGTAAATGTTTTTGATCCCAAAATGTATTTTCTGAGAAAAAGATTGGTATTTATTTTTTGCTTTTTATGTTATACTATCAACACAACAAACCCATTCCATTCATTTTAAATATTTATTTCAAGAACAGTTGGGTCCAACTAGTCAATCTAAGAGCACAGTGCGCAATTATGTCATTTGATAATGTTTCAATGTTATTCCACGACCAACCTCTTGTTTCAGTTTGAATTGTGTTATTTATAAACTTATAGGAATAGGTTTGTTGTGTTGATAGTACCATGAAATGCCAAGCAAAACAGGAATCATTAAGTTTCCCATGTCCCAAGGTGTAAAAAGGCCATAAACTACCGGTAAATAAAAAAAAAAATCTCTTAAACTTTGAAATAAACTTTACAATCATATTTATGTCCAGCTGTTTCTATATGTCTAGTTCAACAAAATGATGAAAAAAAGTCAACAAAATTGCCCCCCCCCCCATACCATGTTTTGATTCAGGGATATATTTCTATATTTGATATTTCAATATAGTGTTAAAACTACATAATTAAAGTTGGTGATATCTATTGTAAGGGTTAATTATTTAGTCCCAGTTTTGGTATACCGGTACATCATGGACAATAAATTTGGGGTCTAACTGAAGCCATTTTTCAGACATTATTTGATCGATCACATTTTAACTTAAAACCCTCATGTATGATGACTGACATCGATTTTGAACAAATATGGTTGACTGGCAGCCATTTTGGTCCTAAAATTTACTAAATTCTGCTACTTTAAAATAGTAGAATCCATTTCACAGAGATGAACAAGGGGACTTCATTCAAAATTTATAGCATGTTCATTTGTATTGAGTTGAGGTGCATGTCGTATTTTTTTCGATATTCAGACAAAACTGGCCGACTAGTAGTTATTTTGTTTTTATTCATTTCCATGCCGATTCCTCATTACTATATATGATTCAGTTGAAATTTTGCACACAGGTACTGTTCTCATAGGCAATACCATAGATATCCATGCATGTTTTGCTGAAATACAGTGACAATGATTCTGTTCTATGCTGGCACACATATAATGCATGGAGCCCTTTGGGTTGACATCTACTGTAGAATCTGTATTAAAAACCGCGGCTTCTATTAAAATGGTACAATGCAACAGAGGGGATGCGGCTTCTATTAGAGCATCTACACATATGAGAAATGATAAATTTTTGGTTCTCAATTCTTCAAAAAGAATGGATGCGACCATAATTAGAGATGCGGCTTTTAATACAGATTTTATGGTACATCTATATGTTATGTGACTTGCAATGAACATTGAGATTGACTTCTGTTAATACCTGACTGAGAAATTGCATTACTTGTGTCCTCGGGTGATACTTGAGTAAAGTAATATTATATTTTTGTATCCTATTCCTTGATATACCTTTGGTATACAAATTAATAAAACAAACTTTTCTTCAGAGGAAAGCCTTTAGCTTTCAGGTTCTCTTTTCAGCTCTTTGCCTTACAAGTCCCCGATTTGATTATTTCAAATGGATTTGATTTCGCTATTTTTAGCTGGAAGGAGAAATCAGCAGAAATTAGAGTTATCGATGTCTGACTTATTGCAAACTGTGAAAAATATAATACCCGACTACAACACTTCGGTGAATCCAGTTACAAATTCAGCATGAAATTGAAGATTGGTTTATCAATCAAGTTTTGAAAGTTAGATTTCGGTAGGTTTATGGCAGGTCAAAATATCGTATCGTATTTGCTGTATTACTTAAAGTGTAATGTGTTTTTCTTGACTTTTGGTCAAAATAAGTCATAATATAATGATCTGGCGTTAAGATAAACATAACTTTTGGTTCGTGTGGACTTTTATTAGAGATGCACATCTGTATATAGTAAATATGGTATATACATAAATTTACAAAAATTGAAAAAATTAAATATGCCACTTAAACTTGAAATTTGCAATTGACTTCTGATAATATGGTATTACCTGTGTATTGTATATAGCATTGTCAGTGCTGCTTTTCTTCACATCCTATAGGGACTCTCACAGTTTTACTACATCAAATTTGTAAAAAAAAAAAAGCCCAGTATCAAAAAAATAACTGCTCCTTATTTGTCAACAAATGGAGCTCATTGATATGATCAAACTTGAACTTGCAACTGTGTCATTATTTACATATGAGTGACATCTTAGTTTGATGCAGCGCCCTCGATGTTTTCTTTCAATATATATTGAGAAATTGCAATACTTGTGTCCTCAAGTCATACTTGAGTAAAGTAATATTATATTTTTGTATCCTATTCTTCGATATACCTTTGGGTATACAAATTAATAAAAAAAACTTTTCTTCAGTGGAAAGCCTTTAGCTTTCAGGTTCTCTTTTCAGCTCTTTGCCTTACAAGTCCCCAGTTTGAATATTTCAAATGGATTTGATTTCGCTATTTTTAGCTGGAAGGAGAAACCAGCAGAAATTAGAGTTATCGATGTCTGACTTATCGCAAACTGTGAAAAATATAATACCCGACTACAACACTTCGGTGAA